GCTTCCCGGGGTCGCTGCGCCCAGCAGCCCTCTCGGGTCCCGGGACTGGAGAGGGTGAGTGGGAGCGAGTGGGCGGCCCAGGACCCTCGGGAAGTGACTGACGGGTGGGTCTCCACTGGGCTCTCCTTGGAGGCCTGGGACCTTGGAGAGAGCCAGTCCTCAGGGGAGTGAGGACTGCTGGCCCTGGGGCGCCTGGGGCTGGGGGGCTTGGCATGCCCCTTCACTTGGCCGCTAGCTGCCCAGGACAAGGAGGGGGATGTGCTGCTACCTTCTTGGAGCCCTTCTGCACCCACCCAGATGGAGCCCGGTCTGCGGAGGTGGCTGTGTCCCCAGGCAGGGCTCTGGGGGTGGCAGAGGCTGCTGGGCCTGGCCCAAGTCCTCAGGCAGGCCCCGTCATCTCTGGGCCTCCTTTTTGTTCCTGTGATTCTTGTGGGGGCTGTCGGTTCCCATGGAGACTGCATCTGGGGCAGCCTGCTGGCTGGGGCCTGGGCGCTGGCCCAGCCTCACTGGGGCTGGTGGGCTCTTTCCTCACCCAAGGACTGACTGAGCTGCACCCACCTGCCCCAGGAAGGCCAGCTCTCCCTTGCAGACCAGTCGGCCAGGCAGGCCCAGGTCAGCCCACCAAGGAGGGAATAAGCCCCCAGTTCTTGGCTCTGCCCAGACCCGGTGTGGAAGGGTCCAAGGTGGCAGGTGTGGAGTGGTCCCGGATCCTGGGTACTTGAGAGGCATGGCTTACCCTCACGGAACCCAGGTTCCTTGGGAGGAGATCTGTGGGCCTCTCAGGACACTCTGGCCGCCGCCTTTGTCTCTAGAAGTCTGGCAGTTGGTACTGCCAGCTAGAGTGCGTCCCCTCCCTCCCCAGGGTTAGACCCAAGTGGGACATCTTCGGTCATTGCTACTAAGCTCCTCCATTGACAGGAAAACTGAGACTGGGGAGGAGCTCACTCAAGGCTTGGGGTGGGCCTGGGCCAGACAGGGTCTGTGTTCCTGGCCTTCCTGCAGGCAGGACCCTCAGGTGGGCAGGGCCTGGGGGCAGCAGCAGGTCCACCTGAAGACTCCCTGGAAGAGGTGACTTTCTGCATAGAGGCCCTCACCACGAAGGCAGCAGCTGCCTCTGCCTGGCTTTCCTAGGGCTCCCACATGGCTGAGGCACGCAGCACGGTGCCAGCTGTGGGTTCCAGGGGCTACTGTCCCTGGGCAGTGTGAGCAGGACAGGGCAGGGAGAAGTGGAATGGGCTGCAGTCCTGCTTACCCTCTGGCCCCCGGCCGTCGAGCCAGTGTGGGGGTCTGCAGGCTCGGGCTTGCCTCTGCCCACTGTGGCCTGTTCGATCCCAGGGCTCGTGGTGCCTGGGGGCCGTGCGGAGGGGTTTCGGGCATTCCAAGCAGAGCCACCTGAGCCAGGTGCCTATAAGGGAAGAGAATGGAGGCCGCTCTTGGTGGGCAGGGGTGGGAGACCAGGTGCTATTGCTGGTGGCTGTGGCAGTTCTGGGGTGGGGGCTTCTAGCATCAGGTCAGCGGTCACAGGGTGGGGCCACAGGTCCCCAGACAGAGCAGCTGAGGCTGTGGGCACAGGAGCTGGCAGTGGCCGCAGGGCCACACACTGACCTTGGGACTCAGCCGGTTGTCTGCCTCTCAGAGCCTCAGTGTCCTCGTCTGCAAGATGGGATGGTAGTCAGCTCTGCTTGGCTCTCTTGTTCCATTTGGGCTCCCGGTGCTGGGCCCAGGCCTCAGCTCAGGGGGAAACTGACCAGAAGGAACCAGGGCAGGCAGGGCCTCTGCCCAGTGCTCACTAACACCAGACCCCTGACTGCCTTCTCTCCCACCCTGCTGCCCCGTCCCACCTTGCACTGGCCTTCTGGAGGGGGAGCTGGGCTCTGGAGTGTGGAGGGCCCAGGCTGATGTGGACAGCAGACATGCTTAGCCAGTCCTGGGCAGCCCAGGCTGGCGGAGGGAAGGCCTGGTGCGCTCTGGGGCCACAGCAGCAGCCTCTGTCCCTCCTGGGTGGGGTCTAGGGAAGTGCCCAGGGAGGGTTCAGAGCAGAGTCCTGGCGGGTGTACAGGGTTCACCTGAGTTTTGTCGGGGGTAGTGACAGCCATCCCGGGGGGGGGGGGGGGGCGAAGGGCGGGAGGGGACTGGGGGGGGGAGGGGGGGGGGGGGGGGGGGGAGAGGAAGGCACAGAGCTGCTTGGTACATGCGGGAGGCAAGAGGCTTGGGGCAGAGAGCACCACACCATTGAGGCTGGGCCCAGGGGCTGGCTCCACTCCCTCCAGAGGTGAGCAGCAGGAGCCGGTGCAGAGGACCTGGGGGCAGGATGGCAGTGGGGTCCAGGTGCTGCAGGATCCCATGGGAGCAAGGTGGAACATCAGGCAGGTGGGGCAGTGGCTGGGGCTGAGCTGGTGGCCACAGGGAGAGACCGGTGCTGCTCCCACATTGGCTGGGCTCCCGCCTTGGCCGGATGGGTAGGCTGCATGTGGGGAGTTGGGTCTGAGTGGGCAGAGGCTGTGGTGCCCAGGCATAGGGTGGCTCTCAGGGACTGCCACCCAAACCATGGCCTGAGATGGTGGTCGGGGTCTGGTGCCGGCGCCGGCGCTGCACCCTGGGAGCTAGGGTGGGCAAAACCCAGGAGCCCCGAAGCAGGCCCAGAGCCAGGTGGGTGCAGAGGCTGCGCTGCCGCTGGGTGCTGCCGCTGCCCGCGGCAGGTTGAGTAACGGCTCTGAGTCACACCTGTGCGTGGGCCGACGCCACCTGTCCTGGAGCTGCAGCAGAGATCAAACTAGGTGATGTATTTATGGCTCTTGACACAGCCTGGCACGGAGTAAATGGTCATAAAGGACAGTTTTGTCCTGCGTCTGCAGTGGGCCTCCAGCTGTGCTAGCGAGTTGTGGCCAGGTCCCAGCTGTGTGCAACCAGGATCAGGCCCAGAATGTGACTGAGATGAAGGCTCAGCATGTGATTTGAGTTCAGGGATCAGGGTGTGACCTGGGGAGGCTCAGGATATGACAGAGTTCAGGGTTTCGTGTGCTAGCTGGAGTTGGGTCGGCTTTGTGAGCAATAGGGAGCCACAGATGGTGTGGGAGCAGTGACAGGGAAGATGTCACTGTAGGGTGGAAGTCAGTCTCAGGGACGCAAGGTATATAGAGGACTTGGGAGAAGATGAGGGGTAGGGAGCTCATGTGGAAACGGCAGTAACCAAGCACACCAGAAGAGCCATTGGCATTTGGGGTGACCAGGACCCTGGAGAGGTCAAAGGTGGTGACGGGGTGGACCCAGGAGGTGGGTTCAGACGAAGTGTTCAGGGAGGGCCTCTGTGAGGAGGTGACTTCGCTGAGGAGGGCCAGCCACCTGAAGGTCAGGGGAAGAGCGCGGGGCAGCAGAGCAGCCTGTGCAAAGGCCCCAGGGCGGTGCTGAGCCTGGCGGAGGAGCTGGCCTCCAGTGGGGGGCCTGGTTGTGTGCCTGCTCTGTGGGAGTTGGGGCCAGTCCCTCAGCCGTGAGGTCTCAGCCGGCCCTCCTGATGAGGCTGGAGGTCCCCAGCACCGTTGGTCCTGGGGCTGTGGCCCCTCCCTGTGCCATAGCACCCAGCGCTGGGCAAGGCTGTCAGGAGTGACCGATGCCAGGTGGGGAGGGGCAGGTGGGGGAGCCGGCAGACTGGCGACGGCCAGGCCTACGGAGGGCAGACGAGGCAGATGGCCAGAGGTCGGGGCTGGAGCCAGCATGGCACAGGCGCGAGACAGTTGCTTAGCCGCCTGTGGCCTGCTCAGGGCCTTGGACTGTTTGCTGAGGCCACCTGCCCACACATCCCTGTCCACCTGGCCTCCCAGCCCCGTGCAGGTTCCCCGCTGGGGAAGTGAGAGGTCATGGACTAACCCCGGGGTCACTGCTTCGAGGAGGGGTGGAATCGAGCGTCAGCGTGCTGTGGGACAGCTAACGCAGGGGTGGGGAGGTGAGACCCCCTGGCTGGTGGTCTGGGTCTCCTGCAGAGCCTGAGGACAGCCAGGACATGTGGCCAAGGTCCCCAGCACTGTGAGGAGCCAGGTGTGGCGCCAGGCCCGGGAGGCCAGTGCCCCTGTGCCTGTGCAGGCACTGTCTCGGGTCACCATGTGCCTAGGCATGTGGGACCTGGGCTCTGAGTCTCCCCAGGATGGAGCCCGAATAGGCTACACCAGGCTCACTCTGGCCTGGCGGGAGGGGAGGGAGCGTGGAGTTGCTGGGCAGGGGGGCAAACCCAAGTGGTAAGGACCTCACAGCAGGTCTCCGCTGGCCAGAGCTCCACCTGGTGCCTGGGCAGAGATTGGGGCAGCCAAAGCCCAAGGCTTTGCGACAAGGTCTGCAGGAAGGTGGGTCTCGGGGGCCAGAGCCCAGGGGTGCTCTGGGCCCAGGGCAGAAGGGCTCTGAGGGCCAGGTGTGCCCAAGAAGACGTGAGGACAGCTGACCCTGAGAGTCGTCTGGGTGTCCCGTCTTGGGCGATAGCACTGAGGACAGCTCCTGGGGAGCCAGGGGCTGGGGACACACTGGACGCTGAGGTCATCCAGTGAGTTCCAAGATGAGCTCATCCGAGAGCCAGGAGCTCTGGCCGTGGCCATGCCCTGTCTGCCCCAGGACCCCAGCCCCATGGGGAGTCCCGGGTCTGTGAGCTGGCCTGCTGTGCTGCCAGACCCCTGGCTGCCTGGGTGGCCCTGGACAGTGTCCTCGGTTTTCCCAGATTGCGCCCTCCCCTCCTATTCCTGGGCCAGGAAGTCGGACAGCCTCTGTGCGGGTCAGGGTGACCGCCACAAGACCAGGGGCAGGCCGGCTGCCTGGGAGGTGGTCCTGCTGCACGTGGGGAGGAGCAGGCAGGGGTGTGGAGAGCAGGGCAGCCTGGGCGGCTGGGGGCTGGGGAGCCAGGTTGCAGTGGACGGAGCAGGCCCCGGAACTGAGGCACCAGAAGGAGCCTCGGGGTGGCCAGTGTCAGGTGAAAAGGTCTGAGAGCAGCCAGTGCCAGCCATCTTGCTTCCCGCCCAGCTCCCCTCACTTCCTCCTCCCCCCGAGAGCCTGGGCGGCAGGCTGGCAGGGGCCGGGGTCTCTCAGTTCCTCACGCTTGCTGCGGTACAGGAGGCTCACGGCATGGATGGTGGGCTGCACAGGGTCACCGTGTCCTTCTGAGTTCGCTGGGCACATGGTGGGGAGTGAGGGACGGCTTGGCCCTGCCCCCAAGGGGCACATTGAGATCGGGTGGCCAAGGTGCCAGCCCCCTGGACCAGGGGATCGTATTCCAGGTAGAGGGACGCCCTGCAGCAAAGGCCCTGAGGTGGGGACGAGCGGGGACAGCTGTGACGTGGGGGTAAACTGAGGTGCCAGCCAGAGCAGGGCAGGAGGGAGCACAGCTTTGCTGGGGCTGTGGGAAGAGGCGCGGCTGGGCCTGCGGACAGCGGAGGCTCCGGAGGATCAGGGCCAAGAGCTTTCTGTGGGGCGGGGCCTTTGCTCCTGGCGCACCTGCACAGGAGCTCCTGGACTAGGGTCCTCGGCGCCATGGCAGCAGAGGGTCTCTGGGGGCTTGCCATGAGACTGTAATGGCAGCGTGGGGCTCCCCTCAAGGGCCCAGAGCCCCTTCAGGGACAGGCAGCAGCGCAGACCCTGGGACCTCGAGCGTGGGTGGTCAGCCGCCTCGGGCCCAGCAGCACGGAGGCCCTTGCTCACCCTGCATTCCCACACCTAGAACATGGAGAAGGCACCTGTGCCGTCCGTGACGCTCATCGTGGGCTGTGGCGTGTCGTCCCTCACCCTGCTCCTGCTGGTCATCATCTACGTGTCCGTGTGGAGGTGGGTGCCACCCCGGGGTGCCCGGCTGGGGGAGGCGGGCCCCGAGCTCCATGGCCTCCCAGGACGTGTGTCCGCCTCCTCCGCCTGCGGCCCCAGCCGGCCCTCTGCACAGCCCGCCCACACCTGTTTTCTGTTTCTTATTGCTGGGTCCACATACACAAGTGTCCCTGTCCCACTGAAGCAGGGCAGGGTGGACGTGTGGCCACACTGCTTCAGCTGGGCCGGCACTACAGAGGTGCCTGTTTCTTCTGACACTCTCTGTGAGGGATGCCCACCCCAAGCCCCACGGCAGGTGCACGTGAAGCACCTGCCCCTTGCCCACCGAGTCCTCTTGGTCACCTAATACCCCTGTGTGTCCTCACATGGGACCTGCAAGGCCATAGCTCCTGGGACCACAGCCTGGGAGCAGCTCAGGGCTCAGAACCTCTCCCACTGCCCTGCCCCACGCTCCTTCCCTCGAGGCCACAGGGGCTCAGCATAAGAACCCCAGACCTGCGACGGGCCCCGTCTGTCCACCCCGTGCACACCAGGTGGTGTGCACACTCGGGTGGGGCCAGGTGGAGCCAGGGTGCATGGCAGATGCAGGCTTGGGTCAGAGCATGGGGCTGGGTAGTCACAGCGGTGTGTCCTTAACTGTAGGTCTGTGACCAGGTGGCTGAGTGGCCAGTCTCTCTACCATCTAAATCTAGGCCTCCCTGGTTCCCACCCATCAAGTAGTTTAGAGCAAGAAGGGTAAGCTCAAGGTCGCTGCGAGGCGGCCACCCAGGATGTCCAGAGGGTGTGCGGCCCCCGCGCCTGCCCCTTCTGCTCTCCAGGCAGCAAGTTGTTAGCCAGTAACTGGAACTGATGGCCTGGCCACCACCTGGGGTCCGGCAGTAAGAGGTCAATGTGGGCTGGGTGGGGAGGGAGACAGGCACTCTCCTGGTGACTGGGTGGCCATTAGCAGCAGGCACCCTCTGCTATCCTGCCCCAAAGCAGAGCATCCTCTGCTCCTCTCCTGGGATCTGCAGGGGGCCACGGCATCGGTGTTCCCATAGCTCTTCCCCTGGGAACCGGGGCCCCCAGAAGTTCGGGGTTAGGGCTGGGGGGCCCCGAGCTCCAGCTCTGGCTCACAGAGCTTTTGCTCCTGAGGTTGTCAGAGCACCTTCCTCAGAGCCCTACTGACTGTCCCAACGCCCCTGTCAGCTGCAGGCAGGGACAGTTCTGATGGGTCCATGAGGAATCGGGATCCAGAGAGGGATATGAAACACCCAAGGTCATGTAGCACTTCAGAGCTGTGTCAGGGCCCCCCAAAGCTCAGCCAGGAACCTTCTGCTCTCAACCTGAGTGGATCTAGGTACCAAGGGCTAGTGGTGATGATGGTGGTGATAATGGCCATGTAATTATGGTGTTGGTGGTGATGGTGATGGTGGTGGTGATGGTGATAATGGTGGATGGTGTTGGTAGTGATGGTGGTACTGATGGTGATGGTGGTACTGATGGTGATGGTGGTGGTGATAATGGTGTTGATATGGTGGTTGTGGTGGTGACGGTGATGGTGGTGGTGATAGTGATAATAGTGATATGATGGTGTTGGTAGTGATGATGGTACTGATGGTGATGGTGATAATGGTGTTCATGTGATGGTGGTGATGGTGATTATGGTGGTGGTGATTGTAGAGGTGGTAGTTGTGGTGGCAGTAGAGGTGATGATGATATAATGGTAGCGGTAGTGATGGTTGTTGTGGTGATAGTGATGGTAATAGTGAGGGGTAGTGTGGTGATGGCGGTGTAATGGTGATACGATCATGGTGGTAGTGATGATTGTTGTGATGGTGATTGTAATGGTGATAGTGAGAGTGGTAGTTGTGATACTGGTGGTGATGGTGGTGGTGATGGTTGTGGTGGTGATGATGGTGGTACTGATCCTGATGGTGGTGGTCATGGTGGTGGTGATACTGGTGCTGGTGATGGTGGTGGTGAGGTTTGTGGTGGTGACAATGGTGGTGGTGGTGGGAGTGGTGAGGTTGTGGTAATGATGGTGGGGATGGTTGTGGTGGTGGTGACGGTGATGGTGGTGGTGGTGGTGGGAGTGGTGAGGTTGTGGTAATGAGGGTGGGGATGGTTGTGGTGGTGGTGACGGTGATGGTGGTGGTGGTGGTGGGAGTGGTGAGGTTGTGGTAATGAGGTGGGATGGTTGTGGTGGTGGTGACGGTGATGGTGGTGGTAGTGCTGGTGGTGGTACTAAGGGTGTGATGGTGGTGGTTGTGGTGTTCTTGAAGTAGTGAGGGGAATAGTGGTGGTGATGGTGACAGTGACTGCGTGGAGGAGGTAGGTAGGGCTCTGGTCTTGGGCTGAGGATCCTAGCTCTTGTGAAGAGAAGGCTAACCTCAGGCCCCATATTCGCCCACAGGTATATCCGCTCAGAGCGCTCAGTCATCCTCATCAACTTCTGCCTGTCCATCATCTCTTCCAATGCCCTCATCCTCATTGGGCAGACTCAGACCCGCAACAAGGTAGGTGGCCTTGTGCCGTCATGTGCACGTCCCAGTGTCTTCCAGTGTCTTCGGGTGGGGTGGTTGGTCCCGCAGCAGGGGCCTCCTCCAGCCAGCCCTGAGTCTGGAAGCTCCCAGTGGGGCTGCTGGTTTGCCCTCGCTCAGTGCCCTGTGCTGCTGCCCCTCCCACTCAACATGGCAGCCCAGACCTCAGGTGGGAGCCTCTTCTTCCTCAAGGAGCCGCCCCACCTGTAGGGGACAGAGGCACTGCACAAGTAGGCTCCTGGCTGGCGTCTGGTAGAAGCTGGGAGGAGGGGTCTGTCCCTTGCAGTCACCCACCCTCAGCCTTAGGTTTCAGCACCCATCTCGGCAGGGACTGGGTCACCCCTCAGCTGCTTCCTGCTTGGGGACTTGGCCTGGTCACAGCTGGGGACGCTGGGTGCTGGGGGCGCCGGCACCAGGGGCGGTGAGCGCCTGCCCAGCCCTGCCGGCCCTGCCCACCCCCCAGGTGGTGTGCACGCTGGTCGCGGCCTTCCTGCACTTCTTCTTCCTCTCCTCCTTCTGCTGGGTGCTCACCGAGGCCTGGCAGTCCTACATGGCGGTCACCGGCCGCCTGCGGAACCGGCTCATCCGCAAGCGCTTCCTCTGCCTGGGCTGGGGTGAGCGTCCACAGGGCGGGTGTTGGCCAGCGGGTGGGCTACCCTCTCTGAGTCTGCCCCTGCTCTCCTTCCTGTCCTGCGGCCCTCTCCACCCGCCCTCCCCTGTGAGTCTTCCTGAGCCCCGGGCTCCTCCCTCTTTGCCGAGTCCATTCAGATTGCCCAGTTCAAGGTGACCTTCAGAGAGCAGGCAGCTCTTCAGCAGGAGTGCTCTGAGCAGTACTAGAACAGGCTTACATAAAACATGCCTCCTGGCTCCGTGAGACCCAGGTGTGCCCGGCCGTCCTGTCCCCCAGCCCTCTCCTTCAGCGACCTCCTGTCCACCCCTCACACACTGTCCTCTGGGGTTTGAGACATGTCCCTGCTGCGCCCTCGGCAGGGCTCAGCATGGCCAACCGGCTCTTCTGTCCTTCTGCAGGGCTCCCTGCGCTGGTGGTGGCCATTTCTGTGGGATTCACCAAGGCCAGAGGGTACAGCACCATGAACTAGTGAGTCAGGGAGGTGGGGACATGGTGACACCACCCGGACCCCTGACTTTTGACCATCCAGGAGGGTGAGGGCTGCCATGCCCTCTGCCCTGTCTGGCCGGGTGCTGTCCCAGGGAGACTCGGGGAGGGTGGGCCCTGGGTGGAAGCTGAGCCTTCGGGCAGGCCCTGGCTCCTGCCCAGCTGTGGGCAGTGAGTTGAGAGAAATGGGCGGGGCCAGCAGACCCTCAAGTGCACCTTCTTGTTGGGACATAGTCCCTGGCCTCTGCACCCTCCACAGGTGTTGAGCCCCGGACAGCTCAGCAGGTTCCCTCCCATGAGCCTGTGGGGCAAGGCAGGGGCAGGGTCCACTTCACAGATGCGGTCTCTGAGGGCCTTTTAAAGGGTCATCTGGGCCAGGTCCTGGGGCCTTCAATGCTGAGCTGGGGCACCTGGGGCTTATTTTAAAGGCAGTATGGGTTCCCCTGGTGGGGAAGAGGGCCTGGGCTCAGGAGGGGAGTTGGGGCAGGCAGAGTGCGGCAGGGTGGCGGGGTGGGGCAGGTGGGGAGCGAGGCCCCCTGGGCAGACGGGCGTGGCTCTGTGGGGCCCAGGGGTGTAGCGGCAGCTTGCTGGGGAGCCCCGAGCGGGCGGCGCGGGGGTCAGGCTTCGGTGCAGATGGCTTGGAGCCCAGCCTGGTGAGTGCCGGGCGGGAAATGTGGCCTGCCCCAGAGATGAGAGGAGGGGTGGGTGGGGAAGCTGCGGTGGGTTTTCCAGGGTGAGGATGAGTGTGCTCCGTGGACACTTGCCGGCCAGAGGGGTGCCCTGTAGCAGCCCAGTGTCCCACAGAGATGGTTCTATGGGCACCTGGTGGTCTCCAGTGAGGGGGGTGGGGGGCTGATAAGTGGGAAGGGCCAGGCCAGGTGCATCGTGACCAGAGCAGGAGGCCCATGGTCTTGCTGGCCTGGACCCTGCCGCGTGGTTCTGGGCAGGCGTGTCCCCGATGCTGGGCCTTCTTCCATCTGAAGCCAGGATGACATTGGCCCTCTGGGGCTCCTGGGGATCGCACAGCCAAGTGTGTGAAGTGCCCCGAGGGCAGGAGGTGCTCACTAGGTGCTGCTCCTCTTGTCCTAGAGGGCAGGTGGCCCTCACAGCCTCTCTCCCTGCAGCTGCTGGCTCTCCCTGGAGGGGGGACTTCTGTACGCCTTCGTGGGACCAGCTGCTGCCGTTGTGCTGGTACTGACCCTGGGCCTGGGCCTCTTCCTCATCCTTGGCTGACCTGGGAGTGCCCACCTGGGGTAGCCCTGACCTTGAGTGGGCAGCTCCTCCTGCCCTGCTTCGACCTTGCCCCCAGGGTGCTGGGGTAGGCCAGGGTGTTACTGGGTCCCTGTGGCACAGCTGGCCTGACCGTGGCCCCGTACCCCTGTCAGGAGGTCCGAGCAGGCTTGGTGAGTGAGGGGTGGGTGGGGGCAGATGGACAGACAGACAGCTGGAGCCGCTGGGAACATGCAGGCCAGGCCTCCGCATGTGTGCCCACCACACAGCTTTTAGAGCTGGGCACAGAGGCCAGGGCTTCCCCTTAGTAGGTGCCAGGGATCCTCCCTTCATGGTTCTCGAGTTTCCTGTCCATTTGTTTTGTGAGAGACATAAAACTAGCACCTGGTGCCCAAGGCTGGTGTCCCCAAGCAGATGGACTGGGGGACTGGGACTGGAGGACCTGCCTGGGGTCGCTGGCCTCTGCTGGGCCCACCCAGCTCTGAGCCCGGCTCTTGTGCCTGCCTCCTGGTGCTGCGAGAAGAGCAGAGCATCAAGATGCTAGGTCCAGCTTGGGGTGGGCACTTCTCTGTCTCTGACCCATATCCCCCCTCCCCACCTTCTGGTGGGGCACAGCACACGCTGAATGTGTCAGACAGGTGGACGCTGGGCACTGGATGGCAGGCCCTGCAGGGCATGGGTCGGGGGATCCTGGGCTGCGTCAGTGCCAACGTGGGCGGCTTCCACAGGTAGTCCCAGGCCCTTCTCACAGGCCTGGCCACCAGAATCCCTGTTCTTTATTCCTTGAAGGTGCCCGAGTGGGAGGGGCTGGAGCAGGGCATCCACAGTGGCCTTGGCCAGCAAGACCAGGCATTGTTTAATGGCAGGCACCTGGGGACCAGGGAGGGGCTGAAGAGTCAGGGACCATCCCTGCTGGCCTGTGTGCTATGGTCCAGGGCCTGCTGCACGTCCCTGACGTAGTCCTGGTGGCCAGTGAGCTGCCCAGGAAGGATGGCCTTACCTAGGCCTGGTGCTCCCTCGCTGTGTCTCCTGGGGACCTCCTGTTCTCGGAGCTCCTGGGGGCAGTCCCTGTGTGGGATCCTGAGCCTGCCAAGCAATGGGGACAGCGTCAGCAGCGCTGGCCTCTGGGTGGGTCGCCAGGTTCCTTCCATAGAGCGGGCCCCAGGAGCTCACGAGCTCTGCTGCAGTGAGTGGGGGTCTGGCGATACTGTGAGGGGGACGTGTCTCATTGCAGCAGAGGCACGGACTCGTGTGGGCCCTCTGGGAATTAGTAGCTTGGGGAGCAGCCTGGGAGACATACCTGAGCCCCCAAGAACCTCCCAGGGTGCGAGTGCCCAGGGGAGGTGGTGGGCAAGGGGAGAGCAGAGAGGTCAGAGAGGGGTCCCCAGGATGAGCTGGTGAGAGTGTCTGAGGTGCGTTCCCTGACAGTGGAGACTGGGAGGGGCAGGCACTGGCACGTGGGGTGGAGGAGGCGAGGTTCTGCATGGACAGCAGCTGGACTGGGCCCACTGAGGCCCCTCGCCTGGCTGGCACTGGGGGCCACCTGGTGGAAGCACTGGAGGTGGCCCTTGAGCTGAGGGCCCCAGGGGTGTGGCCGCTGTGGGCTGGGGCGCGTGGGTGGCGCTGCCCACACCTCTGCTCTCTGCCTGGCAGGTGAACATGGTGATCGGGATCCTGGTGTTCAACAAACTCGTGTCCAAAGATGGCATCACCGACAAGAAGCTGAAGGAGCGGGCAGGGTAGGCCTGGGCCGCCGCGGCACCCTGCACACTCTGGGCTGCCAGTCCCTGAGCCCACAGCTGGAGGTGCCCATCACTCAGCGTGGCACTGCAGGGGTGGGGGCCCAGGCAGGGGGGACTGAAGCGTAGACACAGCTGCTCCTGCCTCGCCCTGTGCCTCAGTTCCCCATCTGACGGTGACAGGGCGGGGCCCTTAGGATCCCCAGGAACAGCGAAACTGCCCACAGAGACCCTCCCGTGCTGGGCACCCTTCCCCACCAGGCTGGCCGTGTGGCCCTGAGGCAGGACCTTACCTGTCTGTGCAGCTGACTGTTCTTGTGGGCCTTCAGCACGGGAGGAAGGGTCAGCAGGAGTCACGCTCCTTCAGAGGGCCCACAGTGCCTGGTGCTCTGGGGGGCAGGCTGGCCACAGCCAGAGTTGGGGGGAGCCCGCCCTGCCCCTGTGAGCCCTCCTCCCTCCCTCTGCCTGCTGCCTGTCTGTTCTGCCACTGGCATCTGCGTGGGGCCCCACCCGTGTCCTCTCCCCTCTGTGCCAGTCTTGCTTGGTGTCTCTCTTTCTCTCTGTCTCTGTCTCTTTCTTCCTGGCTCCTCCTACTCGCCTCATTGGACAGAAGCGGCAGAGTCTCCCCTGGGGTGCCCAGTGGGTTCTGGTCCCTGGTCCTGGTTGGCAGCCACCAAGCAGGCTGGGAGCTTCTTCACTGAGCTGTGTGCCGGTGACTGGGCCCTGGCTCCCAGTCTGGGCACAGAGGTCGCGGCAGGCTTCCGCTAGGCCTTGCTCACCCCACCTTACGCGCTCCAGGATGGGCAGTCACACCCCAGAGCGGCCCTAGGCTGCACAGCCAGGACCGAGGACGGCCACTCTGGCTGCATCTGTGCAGTGCAGAAGCTGCGTTGCAGAGCGCTGCCCGTGCCTGCCTGCCACTGAAGCCGACTCCCCTGGGGCTGGGCCTGCTGAGGCCTAGGAGGGCAGATAGCTGGAGCTGGCATGGTTGTAGCCTGGGCCTCCTGGGCTGCGGCCTGGCCTCGCCACAGAGGTGGAAGGCACACACATCCCTGGGTGCTCGTGCAGAGGTGGCACACCTCCACGATGAGGGGCCACTGCCCAGGTCAGCTCCCAGACAGGAGGGCTCCCCCGTCCACCCACCCTCAGCGCCTGGCCCCCGTGGGACAGCAGGCGGATGCCTACCCCTGCTCAGCAAGCAGGCAGCCCAGCTTCCGTACCCAGGGAGGAGAGGAGGGTGGCAGGGGCCTCCCTCGGGCGTGTGCTGGCTTGTGCAAACTCCAGGAGAGATGCGCCTACCGGTCAGCTCATCCTGGGCACCAGACCCAGCTGCCCCCAGGCAGCAGGAGCCCTGCCCACACCAGCTCCACGTCCCCAGCCGGGGCCCTGGGCGGCACGAGCCCCGGGGACCGCTGGCTGGTCTCCCTCTGCCCCGTGGGTCTCCATGAGACGTGTTTGCTTCTGTTTCAGCCTTTGGTTTCACTTGCAGTCAGCTGCCCCAGGCCCCCCTCGGGCGCGCCCTCAAGTGTGCCGAGTGCGGAGTCCCCCGTGCTGCCGATGCCTCCCGCGACGTCTCCAGCAGTGCCGTGTTAGTGCCTGGCTGCCCGCCAAGGGGCGCCTGCCGCCCTGCCCCCGCTCACGTCTGTGTTCTGTGTTCTTGCTCTCTCCAGGCCGCTGACCCCAGGTTTCCTCGGGGCCTCTGCCCTGCCTCACCCCCTCCCCAGGCTCTCTCTTCCATGTTCCAGGCACTGGGCTCTGTGCCGTGAGCAAGGCGGGCGGGAGGCAGAGTGACCCAGGCCAGTGGTGGTGGTGATGGCAGCACGGCCACCCCTCGAGGGCCTGGGCCAGGTGTGGGGCTGGCTGCTACTGCTTCCTGGTCACACCCCAGAAATGCTGCTGGCCAGATCCTGGGCACAGGAGGCACTGGCCTGCCTCCATGGGCACAGGAGGGCAGGGAGCCTGGGCTGTGTGGGGATGCATGAGTGTGAAACTGTGATGTGAGTGTGAGCAAGAGCATGTCTAAGGGTGATGGCATGTACACAGTGTGTGCTAGTGTGCACATGTGTAAGAGTGGGTGCATGTGTGCTGTGTGCTAGTGTCACATGAGGTGAGAGTGGGTGGAGGTGAACGTGCATGTGTGGGGTGTGTGTAGTTGTATAAGCATCTAAGTGTATGGGTGTGATTGAACCTGTGAAGATGTGTTAGAGGTGTGCACGTGAGTGTGAGTGTGTGCATATGTGTGTAATGTCGCCACAGCCAAGGGAACCGGTGGCCGGGCTTGGAGTCAGTGGCCGATGGCAGACTGGCTTTCAGAGAGGCTCTGAGCAGTGCTGGGCAGTGTGGGTTCAGGTGGGCAGGCTTGAGGGTGGAGCGTCCAGGCCTCCGGCTTCCTCAAGTCGCAGTGATGGCCAAGCCCCTAGACCCTTACCCACCAGGCCCTTCTGCTTCCTGAGCTGGGCCCTGGATCCCAGGATTTTAGGAGCCTTAAGAGAGAGGGCCAGGGCCATGGGCCTGCAGGAGGCGAGCTGGATGCAGAGATGTGGCAGGATTACCCTGCACTGACAGGCGGGTGAGGCACAAGGCCAGCCTAGCTGTGTGACCTGCTGTCACGCCTGGGTCCCACACTGGCTGAGAGACAGGGCACCCTGCTCGGGGAGGGCCAGGTGTTTGGGGTTAGCAGCCTTGCTGGGTGAAGGGCCCACCCCAGGTGGGAGGCTGTGGGAAACTCGGCTGTAGCCTGAGGAAGCCTTAGAGAACCTCAGCCGGGCAGGAGATGGGGTGGCACCCCCAGGCTCTGCCCAGATCGCCCCACACTTCAAGACATCTGACTCCCAGCCTGTGGGTAGAGGTGTTTGTGAAGCTGCAGAGGCTGGGGGTAATATGTGGTCACCAAGCCCAGCCATCTGCCAGCCTGGGGAAGATGGACTGTAAGTGTCAGGCCTGGAGGCTGCCCCCTGTGGGCAGTCAGGGAAGGTGACGTGGGGGGCTGAGAAGGGAGAAGACAGGTTGCCAGACACTCCACCTTAGTAGGAAACCGAGGCCCAGAGCCCTTGGGGATGCGTGGGCACTTGTGCAGGCCAGCGGGTGCCGTGCTGTGCCTGTCTCGGGGATGTGGATTGAGCAGGCAGTGCAGCCTGGAGCGGAGGGGCAGCGGCTGCCTGCCCACCCAGCAGGGCAGACTCCAGGCCTAGGGCCCTGGCGTTGGGGGTTTGTGCCTGGCACAGAAGGCCCAGTGAATAGTGCCTGAGGGAGTCTGCAGTAGTGTGGGTCGGTGAGGGCCACGTAAGCCCTAATTCCGGGGGCCTGTGCTGTGTCTGGGGAGGGAGAGGTGGAGGCCGCCTGGCCGCTCCTGGCCTGAACCAGAGGGTGGGTGACCAGGGAGCTGTCCTTGAGATCCTGGAACTTCTGGCTGGGGCAGGAGCAAGGGAGCCTGTCCTGGACACCCCACTAGGTGCTGGCTAAGAGCAGGCAACTCCCCCGGACAGCACCCTTGGAAAGGAACAAGGCTGGCCTGCCATGAGGGTTGGGCCTGGGGGAGAGGACGAGGGGAAGGGACAGGTGTGGCCAGCTCTGCAGGGCCCCTGAGATTGACGGATGAGGATGGGAAGTGTCCCCTTAGCCCACAGGGGTCCTCAGGGCTAGACGACCTGTGCCAAGCCCCCCTGATCAGGGGCTCCTTTAGCTGAACTCCAGGCCTCCCAGCCTCTTGCCCAGCAGCCTGCTGCCCCTGACCCACACCCAGACCCACTGTCTGTCCAGTCCTCCCGCTGCCCTTCTGCTGCTCTTTCTGGGAGACAGAAAGGTAACTCCTAAAGGAGAGGGGAGCAAGTGGCCCTGGTGCCCGAGTGCCAGCAGCTCGGGAGCCTGGCCCAGGCAGGCAGCAGACTCAGCAGTGGTCCCCAGGCCCCAGGTCCCCGAGGGTCACTCCAGTGCAGGGGCGGGGTCATTTGCCTGCTCCTGCGTGTCCCGCAGCCCTGAGGCAGCGTGGCACCCCTGGTGTGGGAGCAAGAGGGCTGTAGGGTGGTGTGCCTGCAGCCAAGGTGCCCCGTCCCTGGCTGAGTGCAGGGGCAAGGGCAGCTCAGGCCGGTCCACAGGTAGGGCACTGGGCTCCAGAGGGTGGGTGCGCAGCCGCAGCCGGAGAGGAGGAAACGCCGCCGTCTCTCTGTCCCTGTCTGTCCCTGTCTGTCCTCTGGCCCTCTGGGCTTGTCTGACTGCTCACCTGTGTGTCCCTCAGTTTCTGTCCCTCCCTCTCTGAGTTCCTGCCTCCCTCCCTCCCTCCCCAGTGGCCTCCTGCCCTGCTGTCAGGCCTGGGTCTCTGCTCCCTGGCCCTGGAAGCTGGACCGGGGCCTCCCTACCTCGCCCTCTCCCTCCTGACCCATTCCAGTCGGCCACCCCGCCCTGTGAGGAGCCTGGACTCTCCCAGAGAGCTTCTCCACCTCTTCCTGAGTCCCCAGGTCCCCTCAGAGCTCTGGGCCTCGGGGAGGCTCCCACTGGGCTCTGCTGCAGCCCCAGGGGCCAGGACCCCAGCGACTGGGGAGAGGGCAGGGCCGAGTGCGGGCGGTGGGCGGGGCGGGGAGGCGGGCAGGAGGGGCAGCTGACGCCGTCCGTCCCCAGGGCCTCCCTGTGGAGCTCCTGCGTGGTGCTGCCGCTGCTGGCGCTGACCTGGATGTCGGCTGTGCTGGCCGTCACGGACCGCCGCTCCGCCCTCTTCCAGATCCTCTTCGCGGTCTTCGACTCGCTGGAGGGCTTTGTCATTGTGATGGTGCACTGCATCCTGCGCCGAGAGGTGGGTGGCCCTCTGTACCCAGGTCCTGCCCTGCCCGCCCTGCGGAGGGAGCAGGGAGACACCGCTTCTGGGGCCCCCCACTCCTGTCGGCTGCAGGGACCTGGCCGGGCAGGAGCGTCCACACGCAGTTCCACAGAGCCAGGGCTGCCACGAATGGCCGCCTTGGGCCAGGACAGCTTCCAGGACACCCTCGGCGTGCAGGGTGACGGAGGCAGCTGGGGCTCCATCCTTGCAGAGCCTGCTGAACAAGGGAGCTGGTAGCAGATGCTCTTGGCATTGTCTGGACCAACCAAGTCTGAGTGGCCTGTTGGCCGGGGGCAGCAGAAAGGGTCCCATCCAGACCCCTGAGAGCTTGGAGTGTGGGAGGACGTGCGTCGTGACCTAGGGACAGGACTCCTACGTGGCTCAGAACCAGGATGTGGCTGCGGGGGCAAGAAGGGCCCAATCCTCCCCTTCTCCCCAGAACCTCCTAGGACAGTGGCAGGCGGACTCTTCAGAAGCTCATAGATGAGGGAGGACACTCGACAGGGAGGCCGTGGCACTCCCAGCCCTGGAAGGTCAGGCTGCAAGAGGAGAGGTCATGACCTGAGAGACTGCAGCAGGCAGCTAACTCCAGGCCACCGAAGCCCAGAGAGCTGCCCGAGGGCCCCTCCCAGGATCTCAGGAGACCAAGGGAGGACCCTCTGGAGCCGCGGATCCTGTCCCTCTTGGACGTCAGGGCACGTGGCCTCCCCAGCTGGGCTGCACTGCCCTGGAAGAGTGCACCAAAAGGCCCTGACGATGGGCATCAACGTGGAGTGCCCCTTGGTCAGTCCACACTGACCCTGAGCCCACCCCTCTGGACAAACGTGAACTTGCCAGTGGGAAAGAGGAGGGGACCTAAAGTTCCGGGCTCCATGCTGCAGCTGGTGGCCCCTCTGGAAGCCCCCGCCTGCAGCCCCCGCCCCTGACAGCCCGTCAAGCGGCCACTGAGGTTGAGGATGCTGAGGGAGGAGCCGGCAGAAACGGCATGGGGGAACCGAAGAGCCCCCACGGGAGGAAGGAACTCCCCAGAGCCCCGCCCTGCCATCCCGAACGGCCACTCACCCTGACCACGGAGCACTACCAGTGCCTTGCCTGGCCCCAGAGATCTGCTCGTGCCCTTGATTCTCAGCGGCACCATGGCCAGGTGCTCGGCTGCCCGCCTGCCAACAGCCATTCTGGCCCGGCATGGCCTTGGGGCTGCAGTCTGCTCCGAGGTCACCATCTTGCCTCCGGCCCCTGTCCTGGCTGCTTGGCTTTTTGAACAAAGAAGAGCGGCCTGTGAGGAGGAAAGAGCAAGGACACCCCAAGGACAGAGCAGCTTGGGAGTTCAGACCTGAGGGCGGCAGCCGCAGAGGTGGCAGGGGTGAGGCCGGGGCGGGGGCTGGACAGACATCTCTGAGACCTCGTCAAGCAGCAGGCAGAGAGCCCAGAGGGTGGGCAGAGCATCGCCGTGGAGCCTGGCCCTGGCTCAGAGCTGCCTGGAACCTCACGAAGCACCCCTGGACCTCCGATCTCCGCCTCCTTTGGCAGTTGCTGGCCACGTGGACAGGACAGGCAGAAGCTGCAGCCCCACCCACATGGCTGAGGTCCCTTCAGTGGAGAGTGTTGCTGGAGGAGGCGCAGGCCGGTCCACCTGCAGGGACCCCCCTCCGTCTGCCTGCCTCAGAGAAGAGGCTTTGGGGATGAAGGACAGGTCTGAGGCCACTGGAAGTCCTTGCCCGACTCCGGCCAGCAGGGCCTGCAGCGTTCAGCCAGGGGGCTCCAGGTTTCTTCATTCTTATGCCACAGAGAGCACGAGAGTGTCTCAGAGATGAAGAGAGAGGCCATGGCCTGCTGTGGACATGTCCTGTCCCCTCCTCCACCACTCCTCTCAGTCCTCCCCCCGCCCCCTTCCCGGGCACCCCAGAGCTGCCATGTCCCCGGGCCCTGCTGTACACTGACGCTCCCCACTCCCTCCCCCAGGTCCAGGACGCCGTGAAGTGCCGCGTGGTGGATCGCCAGGAGGAGGGCAACGGGGACTCGGGGGGCTCCTTCCAGAACGGCCATGCCCAGCTCATGGTAGGACTGGGAGCCGGGGCATAGGCACCCCCACTGGGAACCTCAGAGTCCTCCCTGGGCCCGGAGCTGCCCTGGGCAGAGGCAGCCCATTAGAGGAGCCCTGAGCCCAGTTTACATTTGAGGAAACTGAGGCTCTCCAAGGTGAACCCCCATCCAGAGCTTCAGGCCGGGAAGGGTGGAGCTGGCGTCCATGCCACGTCCAGCTGAGCATGAGGCCCTGCCCGGCTCTTAGCCTGCCCCTTCTAGGACTGCACACAGGCCCCTGCGAGGCCACCAGCTCAGGGCCTCCTGAGCACCAGGCCTCTGTGCAGCTGCCCACATCAGGCCCCCATGGACACTGAAACTGCCCGCCACCCTCAGACCCTGACTCCTGGCAGCCCAGTGCCCCCAGGCTCAACCAGGATCCCCCAGCCCCTCTGGCCCCTGGCCTGGAGCTGGCAGCTCGAGCCTAGGCCTTCTCTTGCCCAGGCAGGGCCTCCAAATCCCCACGATGGCCTAGGCTTCTCCATCCAGAAAGGGGCAGTGTCAGGCTTTCCGGCAGATACTGGGTCACTTTGAGACACAGCCCCTTCCTGAGGCTTCTCCTGGCTAACCCCTGACCTTAGTGGGAAGATTCATCTTCCTGTCGACCTGTGTTTGCAGGGAAGGAGCGTCCAGGTTTGAGAGCAAGGGCCTGGGTGTCATTCCCTTCTCCTCGGCTGCTGCCCTCCTTGCTTTCATGGGGACCAGGCCCCTGCTCAAAGGATGGCCAGTGGTGGCCGTCACCATCTTGGCGTCCCTCCTTTGCTCTGCCTGTCCCTGGCCCCTGGCCTTCCTGCCTCAGCCCCAGCACCATGGCAGGGGCCCAGGAGAGGAGGTGCTCCAGACCCCGAGGCTGCTCCTGGCCTGGGGTTGGAGGCTGCGGTCAGCAGGGCTGGCCAGCTGCTCCGTGGGGGCTTAGAAGAACACAGGCGGCCTGCAGACACAGACGCAAACAACAAACAAGGAAACACGCACACGTACGCTCACGCTGCCACGCCACACGCCACACGCACACAGACACTGACACAGACAGGAGCACTTGTTCCCAGTCACGTCCACACCACCCCCAGGCCTGCGGGGACTCTGTAGACGTGGCCTGGGCGCCTGGTGACAGCGCGTCAGCGCCTGGGCACCTTGTGTGTGGCCCTCCAGGCCTCCCTGCAGCAGTAGCCCCTCCGCCCCCCGGCCCTCACCCCTGCCCACCCTCTGTCTTGCAGACTGACTTTGAGAAGGATGTGGATCTGGCCTGTAGATCAGGTGAGCGACCGACAGGTGAGACGGCAGGTGGCCGGGTCGGCCCACTGCTTCCTTCTCTTTGCCCAGCGTCTGTGTGCTCATCTGTCCTCGCCCTCTGCTGGCACCCTGCCCCTGTCCCTCACACCCCCGAGGCTGCAGGAGAGCTGTGGTGCTGTTGAGGGCGCTCCAGAAACCTGTCCCTGAGCCCCTGACGGTTGGCCAGTGCAGCTCTCCTGCACCTGCCTGACTCCCCTGCACCCTCCTCCCGGGCAGCGAGGCTGGGAACTGTGCATGAAACCCTGCCACCCCTCGCCACCCTCTCCTGCCACCCACCCTCCCTGAGCACCTGTTCTGTGTTGCCTTCACTTCATCATTCGTCCAAGCCTGGAGGACAGGCAGGTTGAGCTGGCAGGGCGGAGGACCCACCACTGGGGTCTAGGCTAGTGCTGAGCTTCCTGGAAGCAAGAGCAAAAAGAGAGTCTGCCTAATAAGGCTCCTAACCCACCCCCAAGAGTCAGATAACAGAGGTCTGCTTCCTCCAGTGGTGTCCTGGGAACCGGGTATCTGTGGAGGGGCCACCTAATCATGCTCCCTCTGGCTGGTCAGGTATTTAGGGCATCTTCTCTAGAGCTAGACATGAGGCTGGGACAGTCCCAGGTGGTGAATGTCAGCTGCCGCCAGGTGGACCCCAGCCGCAGGGGTGTGCACTGGGCCCCCAGAGTGCTTGGTGCCTTCTGAGTGGCTGGGGGCTACATAGCCAGTGCTGGGCACAGGTAGGGGAGGCACACCACCCGTCCACAGTGCTGGACGCTAGCCCTGCCGCACAGCGAGCCGAGCACCTGGGTGCGATGGGGTGTCTGGGCCCGTGGGGCGTGGGACGTTGTTGAGTGACCAGCCCCAGCTGGGTGTCTCCTGAGATGGCCTTGACCCTCGGGGAAGGTGCAGGTGGAGAGGGCAGTGGAGGAGCATGGCCTGCCGGGGTCAGCGGCAGGAGGGAAGGCGCAGGTGGCTAGACCCTGCAAGGGGCCTGGGGAGCGCCCAGGAAGTGGTGGCTAACACCAGTGGGTGCTGGTGAGCTGGGATGGAGGGAGCAGCTGGTGGACACCAGGGCTGGCCCAGATATGCTCAGAAGCCCATCAGGCCAGTATGGGTGGGGCACCGGGTTGGGTCTGGCTCTTTAGAGAATGGAACCACTGGGTGTGGAGAGGCTGCCGTGGACGCTGGGTGGTGGAAAGCTCTGGCCCTCCAATGGCTAGTGGAGGTGGGTTAATCAGGAGTGGGATGGGAGGTGGGGCCAGCTAAGCCCCGGTCACAGGGCAGGCAGCCTGGGCCAGCTGTCCAGGGACCAGATGACCAGGCATAGGCGTCCAGGCTCCAGGTGCTGGGAGGCAGGAGGCGTCCATCAGGGTGCAGGCTTGAGTGCTTGGGAGCCTGGGTTGGGCTTGCTGCCCTCCCGGGCAGATCCTGGCACATCCTCCCCACACCGACTCAGCCATGAGCAGGCCTTGGGCAGCAAGGACGCTTGACCAGCCAGGGCCCCTTCCCCAGAATAGGCTGCTCCACCTGCCGCCCTGGTGTGTCCCTGCACTCCTGGGTAGGGCCACCTTGCTTGTCCTTCTGAGCTGCTAGGACAGGCCGCTTGTGGGTGACAGTTGTTTGTCTTCTTGCTGGGGCAGGCAGAGGGGCACCCAGGTGCCAGCCTTGCTTGAAAAGATATGAGCCTTGGCCAGCTCTGCACCAGGCCTGGGTCAGGGGCAAGTGCCCCAGGCCAGCCAGCAGGTGGGACCGGAGGGAAGTGGTGCTGGCCTGTCTGGGCCCTCCCGCTGGGGGCCAGCCTGACCCCCATCTGCCTCTCATGACCCCACAGTGCTGAACAAGGACATCGCGGCCTGCCGCACGGCCACCATCACAGGCACGCTCAAGCGGCCATCACTGCCTGAGGAGGAGAAGCTAAAGCTGGCCCATGCCAAGGGGCCACCGTCCACCTTCAACAGCCTGCCGGCCAACGTGTCTAAGCTGCATCTGCATGGCTCGCCCCGCTACCCTGGTGGGCCCCTGCCCGACTTCCCCAACCACTCACTGACCCTCAAGAAGGACAAAGCACCCAAGTCTTCCTTCGTTGGCGATGGGGACATCTTTAAGAAGCTGGACTCAGAGCTGAGCCGGGCCCAGGAGAAGGCTCTGGACACGAGCTACGTGATCCTGCCCACGGCCACGGCCACGCTGCGGCCCAAGCCGAAGGAGGAGCCCAAGTACAGCATCAACATCGACCAGATGCCCCAGACGCGCCTCATACACCTGAGCATGGCGCCCGAGGCCGGCTTCCCCACCCGCAGCCCAC